CGTTAGATGAGGATGAGAAACACATCTCATCTAATGTGCCACAATACGAAAAAGATAAGATACTAAAAAATTACACCACAAATAATACAAAAAGTCAGTAATCTAATGTCAACTAACATATTATTCATCTGGCATGAGACCATACTTGGAGGGTGAATGCAAAGGTGAGGGGCATGGAGAAAGAAGCTCACAACACAAACTCCACTGGAGCCGGCTTTGTCATATCAGCAAGTGTATCCAACCAAAGGTGCTCATCATCCTATAAACCTCAGTCCAGCAGTTGGAATTCACCAACCGACGCCGACTTCGAAGTGTGGGTTTTCATTCCTCTCGTCCAAGTCATCGCTTGGCCTCCTCTCCTCCTCTTCCATCTACACCCCGGTCGCGTAAACAATGTATGTCGCGGGAGTCAGTGGGCTGGCATACGCAATACGCGGCCCAGCCATCGGAGCCTGGTGCATGATATAATGGTGCTGAGCGGTTCACTAGCTCTTCCTGCACCAAATACGCGACGCCGAACGCATACAATGGTCACACGGTGTTCCCACCAGACATGAGCTAAGCTGCGAAGTCAGCGATGACCCAATTTGACTAGCCTCTTTATGTCTGTCGACCTGATGGGTCAGGTTTCACAACCGTATAGAAGGGTTGAACGAACGGCTGCATTACAAACTCTGCTCTTCAGGGAGAGAGTGAGGACACGCCGGCGTCACAGATGGCGTATATTGGTAAAGGCACCTCGGGCATTTGCTATACGATTTGTAACCTCAATTTCACTCCCAGGAGCGCTAATATAGCTGCCCAGGTACTTGATTTCCTGAACGATCTCTAGCTGATCACTGCCAAGAGTCAACGTAGGGCTGGGCTCCTGGCTATCTTGGAGAAGGACTTTGCATTTCGATTGAGCCAAGCATAGCCCAAAACAATTGACTTCCAGTGCCAGTCGGTCCAATGCAGCCTGGCACCTTTGGACGACATCACATATGAGGGCAACATCGTTAGCATACTCACAATCATGAACTTGATCTCCAGAAAGCAATTCCATACTTTTTAGGTCATGTCCAGCGAGCGCTGTTTTCATGACTTTGTCAGTGACGAAGTTGCAGAGGAAACGTGACAGCGGGCGACCTTGTCTATCATCGCTGCATACATTGAAGGGTGGTGACAGCTTGCCGTAAACCCTCACTCTGCACGAGCTACACGCGTATAGCGCTCGGATAATGTTTACGTATTTTCAGGAACACCTTTCCTGAGCAGACAGTCCCAAAGGGCACGTCGCTCAAGAGAATTGAAGGCAGGTTTTATGTGGAGAAACACGACTACGATGGGTCGCCAATATATATGGCGATGCTACAACGATTGACGTAAAGTAAAGATGTGATCGATGCAGCCTCCGTTTCAACGAAACTCGGCTTGCTCCTTGCGAATCTGACGTCACTAGTGTCAGTCAGTCTGTACAGCATGACAAACACAAGCAATTTAGGGGCCTTTGAGCTCAGAGCGATCCATCTATGATTACCGCATTCCGAAGGAAAGTCACCCTTAAAAATTGGGAGTATGGCGGAGCGCTCCAGTCTGTTAGGACACTTTCCTGCTCCCACAGTTTCGCTAGTAACTAGTGTAAATCCTCTACAACAGCAGGTCCGTCGAAGTTAAGTAGGGCTGGACGAATTTTATCTGCTCCTGCGTCCTTAAACAGTTTCTACAGTATGATATCACGTTCGACTTTAGTGCGTGTGGGCGGATCCCGTGAGGCGGCCCAGGGAGTCGGGCTATCACTGGCCAGTGGAGAGGCTGACAACTCTGACTGATTGAGCTGCTTCTCAAAGTGTTCGGGCCAACGCTACAAGCCTTTTGAAAATTGTGGATCGGCTATCCACCCTCCTCGCCTATGATCTCGCTGACACCAGGTCTCCTGCTGCCCGTTTCCCGTATCGGACGAAATGACCAACAATGGTTACTAAAGGCAGCGGCTGTTTCCATTTCCGACGCATGATGAGACCACCAGGCTTCGCGGTTTTTAATTAGGTTAGCACGCAGTTTTCCATTGAGATGTTTGCGAGTTCCACCATGTTCGCTTCCATTCGAAATACGTCGACGAGCATGTATAATTTCCAGGAGCTGTGTAGTGATCCAATGTCTAGGTTGACAACTTGATTTGCCACATTAAGACAAGCTTACTGATGGTAATGTCTGGCGAATATGAGACCAGTGATCTTCGACGGTGTTCAGTGGTAGCTTACTCAGCCCAGATGCCAGCCTATTTGGGTAGGCATTCAGAACACCTGGTTTCGCCAATTGGCTGGTGTCTATGTGTTTACATCGCAGTTACGAATGTCCGCACAAATGCACCCTAAGGTCGGTACACAAGAGCGTGATCGGAGTCCACCCTCGTGCTCAAAATCGAACAACAGTTTTGGACACAGGCTCTCCAGCGATAAGCGATCGCGATGCGATCGATTTTGGTCCACGGCTGGTCCAAGGCTGGTTGGCGCTATGTCCCCTTCCGGCAGGTGCTGCGCCGAAAGTTAGTGCTGGCAACAAATAGAAGAGCGTCTTCACACATGTGTAGCAACCGCTCCCTGTCATCATCACGGGAGTCTACGGGTGTTAGCCACCCATATGCAGTTCATCAGAGGAGAATTTTCCGACTTGGGCGTTCAGATTACCAGCAAGCACCACGGCATCCGTCCTTTCTCTGGAACGAAGAAGCAGGTTCAGTTGGTGATAGAATTCATGTATCACGGAATCAGTGTCCCATTTTATGGGGGCGTACGCCGCAATGACAAACAGGTGCCGGTTGTACCCGCGCGGTTTCCTAGACTGGAACGAGCTAGCTACTCGGCCGGCGCACATCCAACTTCTGACTGGGAACCAATCGATCAGGGTAGCTTCAACCCGGGGACACAAAACAATGTCCACACCGGCTCGACCGACATTTGAAGATGCGTCATCTCCAGACAAACGCAATGAGAAAGTGCCGCCAGTGTGGTTTTTGGAGGATTGCTGGGTAAGCACAGAGCTCGAAACTTGAAGGAGCGTTTCCGAGAAGTCGTAAATATCCATCGGTATGTTCTCTAGTGTTCGGGCAAGAGCTGCCTGTTAGCTAATATGCACTAAAGTGGCATGCCAGTCTTAGCGACGATCGTGGACTCCAAAGAAAAACGGGTGAAATGATATTGTCCGCTTGGTTGAACATATACTTGCCGACTGGACAAGAGCGGCGCCCTGCTTTTGCATGTGAGTTGAAACTAGAAGACAAACGACTATTGAAGCGTTAGAGGAGGGCCAAGAACTGATTTAAAATAGGGGGATAACAATGAATTTGGAGCGGGACGCTAACGATGAAAAAGCGCCAGAGGGGAATAAGAATGCGAGAAGGTCTGAGCAGTGGCATCCAAAACCCCTATCCACCCTGTTCGATACAGCAGATAGGGCACGTTGATTACCCTCTGAGACGGCCAGAGCATCAAGGAATTGTTAGAAGGAAAAGTCATGTTGTTGTATGGTGTGGGCAGTATATTGTCAGGTTGCGCAGGCCTTGAGAGAAGAGAAGGATTAGGGTGCTCAACCAAAGCTTTTGGTTAAAAACCTGTTGGCAACGCAGCAGGTTTTGGCACTTGCTACAGAGAAACCGTTTTATGGAGTAAGTAGTCAACCTCACCCTAACTCATCCTGCAGGACCAGGAGGCTGAGTTTGTCTGGCTACTAAGCCTTGACCAATCTGGTATGAGTGGCTTTGAAGATGCATAGCTTAATAGATCATTGAGGAACAAGTAGCGTCGCACCATGCTAAGGTCCGGTCTCGTTGCAAATAGGGAAACGCAGGATGGTGTTACTCGAGCTCATCCACTGGCCGCTATGTTCCATTGTATTCTCTTGGGAGTGCACCGAATGCTCAACTACTTTTTACCGTATATGACCAACAAACCTGCTCAAAAGCAGACTTTTCCTGCATACGAGAACTCTCCCAATGGACCACTTCCTCTGGCAGTCCATCGTGTCTAGCAAAAGCAGTCGTTGGGTTTTGGTGCAAAATTTTGGACCTATTTCTTACACCATAGCTGATCATTATGATTGTCGCATTGGTCAAGCTTTTAGCTATCATGCGGCAAAATCTTCGACGAATACCCGCAGCCTTATACTCACCTGGTGGATAAAATTTTCATACGTCCGACCCAACTAAGTGCCAGGTTGTGTTAAGGCGCGTTCTATTAATGTATTATTTATATTCCGATAGTAATCCAGGCTCATATGCCGTCACAGGCTATCGACCACATGGCTGAGGGTGCTGGTGCTGGTGGATTACCATCAAGGCTCGAGAAGTATGCATGTGAAAACATCGCCTATACGAGGGTAATATGCTGGTGAGAATTCGGTTGTCCGAAATGAGACAAGCATGATGGCCAATTATAGTGGTATGGTAAAAATTTCCGTCTTTCAATGGTTTCTCGTCTTACTCCCATTGCTTTTCAAATTTACTTCAGATGCAGAGAAGTGGACAGTGTTAGTAAAGTAGAATACAAATGCTACCTAGTTATCAACTCTCTGTCGTGAGTTTCATCTCATGTTTTTATCCCTTTCGTTTTATCTGAGCATCTTAACGTTAATTCGAGTTTCCGAGGGTGCAAGCCCCCTTTTGTCCTCCATCTTATTTTTATCTAACAAATCCGTGATCTACGGAAAGTGGTTTACCATATGCTGTGGAATTAACGATGCCTGCGTGTTTTTCACTTCATTCTGTGGATTAATTTTCCTTCTTCCCCAAAGTAGCGCATATTTCACAACAGATGCCTTTAGTGCTTCGAATCACCGACATCTCGTAAGATGCGCACTTTGCTCCAGTAGGGGTTTCAACTTTGTAGTTCATATGGTTGAACGGGTTATCTCGTCTATTACTGAATGAATGAACTGGAAGTCCGTATTGCGACTAACAGTTCTTCTTCGTCCAATTCATTCCCCACCTGTTATGTACCCATTGAAGTTGAAGATGTTCAAGTTAGGACAGCAATCATTTTATGGCTTACGATGCGTCTCATAGCTGGTCCACTCAAAATCAGCTGCACGAATTCCACAGTAATAAAGATTACAAACCGTAGATCATCGATATGTTGGACAGATTGAGGTAGTATCATTGTGGATCACACAAACAGGTACGCATTGGTGAGGAAGACGAAGAAGGAACTGACCGGACTTCTGATAATTGTCGAGTACCAATAATAAATGAACTCTGTTAACTGCTAAACATTTCCAAGTTTTATGAGATGGGTCCCTAGTAAGCATTAGTATTAACAAGCGTTGGGATGCTAAGTGAAGGTCGTCAAAAAATATTTCAAAAATTTGTGAAATCAATTCCACTTTACAATCTCTCCTGTAGATTCGAATGGGGAGGGTAACACTTTCGTTCGTTCATCAGACGAACTGCCACCAGCATCTACATATGCTGAGCGAATACCTTGACTGCTGTCCACAGTTGTTTGCCCACTGTGCGTATGTACGATGGCGGTAGCAGAAATCCGTAGCGCCCTTCGTCACTCAGCTCCATGGTGTATGTGTAGGGAACGCCCAAGACACCTGCAACGTAGTCGTCGATGCCACCAGATGCTTCATCTACGGAACAAACAAATAGGTATACCCATGTTTACATCTTTATATTCGTGAACACTGAGAATAAGCTAGGTAAATTGCCACTGAGTTTTAAAATTAGGAAGTGGTAGTGTAATGGAAGCTTTCGGACGCTGCAAGCAATCTGTTCGATGGGTTGTTGTTACATGCGCACGTGATAAGCTTACTCAACCACCCAAAGCATCACGCGATTTGATCGAATAGCCTTGTCACATTGCTCGGTACTAGTTGGCCTATTATTCTGGTTCTGATTAACTCGATTTATCGTTTATGTCTTCCGCTTCGATTGATGTGTCAGAATACAAATCCACGTGTGTCATCCGGCTGCGCCTTCTCATCTCCGAGTTCGGGACTACGTGTCCAACTACGAACTAGGAATACTTGAGCAATACATGTCAGTTGTCGTAATATTTGTTATTTCTCGAAACCCATGTTGAGAAACGTAAATGTTTGGCAATTTAATGTGCTATATCGGCCGTTCAGATGCGTTGACAATTCACACTAAGCGGCTGGGATGCTTTCTTTTCAGAATTCAAATATACTTGCAACAGGCTATTGATATTATCTATGGTGACACTACACCAACTATAAAACGCAAGCTACCCATCGTTGCAAAATGTCTGAATGCGGTGGTGGTCCTCATCTCGATGCTCCATCAAGTGATTATGTGCCTGATATGACTCTCGAAGTTGCAAACTTTGAGGCGTTTACTGTACTCAATTCATATATGTTAAGTGCAACTCTCGTTTACTTGTCCTGTTGACAATAGTTCGTTGTTATGATTTTCGTCGAACAAAGTGTCCTGAATGATTTACTCTTTGGAGGAATACACGGAAGACTCATGCGGTGGAGTGAGGCACAGTACACACAATTCAATTCCAGCTTAGGTCACAATCGCACTAATAGGTTAGGACTTTTCCTCCACTTGGAATCTGGTGGAGAACTAAGGACAGTATACGACTGGCCATATTCCTGCATTGGACATTCAAGCCTATCAGCCGTTGTATGGGTGAATCCCTTGTGTTATTTGATGTTTAATAAATCATAAATTGGCAGACGCTTCTTCCGATTCTTTCAATGGGGTGGAAAGACGGATTTTGAACACATTTTCATCGAGCGCGTGTCCCATGATAAGCCGAAAGTGATCGTCAGTGCACCGCTAGGCTGGGATGCATAGGGTCTAACTTGTACTATGTGCCCAAACGGTGACTTCCGAAAGAGGAAAGAACAAGGTAAGGGAGAGTATTTGCTTCGCTCCGTTTTGAGGAAATACGGGTTTAAATCAATAACCACCATATGTGACAGCGGCAAGTGGTCAACTTCGATCAAAATATGACACCAGTATCGAGTAATTCTTAGGTGTAAATAGCCGACGTAACACAACCACCATTAGCTTAAGCCTAAATCACGACTATGCAGAAGGCGAGACGAAGTGAATCTTATTTTATAATGCCGTAAATCTCGCTTGGTGACAGTAGGTATGATTAGCTTACGTAATGACTAAGTAAACGGCCTACGGTGTTGTAACCATCATGGGCCCCACCAAAGAGCAGATCCTTTCACTCTGTGATGTACTTTGGACACTCATTGATACACGCATGCTAAGAGTTATTAATCGGGGTAAGGACGGATTTGTGCGTAGAATGGCAAAACTGTGAATTGTCCATGAACAAGTGTAATATTGAGTCGCTCCCAACGTTGATGCACTAGAACGTCGTTAACTGGTGAAGTGGAAGCCACTGGAGCAGCAAGGTGAACTGGGACAGGAATAAAATCTGCCGGCAACAATACTCACACAAGAGATCCGCTGCGGAACCCACTCGATAGTGGTAGTTGTGTCGCTTTCTGATTTCCTCCTGTACCATTCGACCTAAAGCCAGCTGGAGAACAGTGGTAACAAAATATAAGCATAGAGTACAGATAGAATGTGTGCACAGCTGAGTGTGTTTCGGCGTACTTGGCCTATCAAGTCGCCGACGAGGTCTCAACTTGTTTGCATCCATATGGCAAACGGTAAGTTAAATACAAGACAGATAAATGGCTTAAATTTCAACTCATTTACTAACCCACACAGCTGTTACATCTGGTATGGCACGTGTATCATCGCTGTAACTGGGTCATATTTGTACAGAGGAATATTCCTCGTCGCATAGCGGAACTGTGTCCTGGAATGTTCCGCCTAGTTTGCTTGAGAACATTGCATGTACAGACACCCGATCCATTCGTCCAATGCCATAACTCTGACCACCAATGGTAGAAGGAGTAGGCATAGTGTGTCTCTTTGTAGGGGTACTGCTCAAAAATTTAGTTTATGGAATTTGCTATGGCGCAACCATCACCATGAGCATAGCACCCAAGCTTGCCTCCTCGAAAATTTCATTAGTGATATATAGGTCGAACGTGTGACTATCGGCCCCATGTCAATCGCAGCTTTAATTCCGATACTCATTTTCACTCTTTCGTATCTAAACTGAATATGGTCGTGTGTTTGGAACTAGCTGGAGCATGGCAGTGATGAAAACCGTAAAGGTCAACCACAATTTATCTAGTCAGTTGGCTTCATGTTGCATGTTGTACTCAGTTAAGATGGGGGGGGTGATAAAACCCAGCAAACACGGCCCAGCGTACTAATCGTTAAGCTCACTGTTCAGTCAGGGGATCTGTTCTTGTGCATCCAATCTTATAAAAGTTGGTCCGCAAGTGTTATGTCACTAGAAGAAATATTTCTTATCCATGAACCCTGAGTTCGAAGATCATCAATTTCCAAGAAATAATGATGCCCAAAGCAAGTCCCACTAACCTTTTATGGTGTGTAAACTAATCGTCTGATAGGCACTTTTAAACCACCGCATGTAGCTGGGTGACCGAAAATTCAATGAGCTGACAACATATAACGAAAAATGTGCCTCAGACTGCGGACAGAGCCATGCCATTGGAGTGGTCGGCAAGATGATTTGGTGCCAGACAGTATCATGAAACAACTCTTAGTGGTAGCGACCGTTTGGGATTTTAAATTGAGTTATATACGATTTTCAGTGGCATTTTCTTACTGATTTGGGAGTAGTCACCCAGGCTCAGGTAACTTACTGCTACCTAGACAGGGCCAAACGACGGTGTCGGAAAGGTGTGCGAGGTGGTGCTGTGCTTTATTCGGTCCAATACTCGAAAGCAACTATATGGATTGAACTTCTATATGCCTTGGAGCATCAACTTACATGAAAAGTGCCAGAAATGAAAGTGTGTGCTAAGATTGGAATTTATAAAAATATATCAGTGTCGGTCCGTGGAGAATGCATACTTCACTGAAGCATGGTCATACACAACCGCCTGAGCGAATACTGCAAATCGGCAACGATGCTAAAGCTTGTAGTAACCGCTAGAAAGTGCACAGCCCAACTTGTCCGATAGAGTATGCTCAGGGTGTGACAGAAACAAGCTGAACATTTTAAGAAGTTTATAAAGTTTATAAACTGGAACCCTATGGGACATGTTAAGCATTCGCTTTTCCACCCGTCATAAACCATTGCTTCATTACTGCAATGACCTTGCGAGTAAAATGTTGACCGACAGAAATTTTCTAGCCGAAATGGTCCGACAGTGGGCACAGGAGCTGATACCAAGTTAAGACGTGTTGCTTACCATATTTTCATAATTCGATGGATATCGAAATCTGGAGTACCCGAAAGGGGTTAGAATGTACTGACCATAGGAGTGCAGATTAAGGTACAACACCAGCTGATCCTTTCGCTCCGTCAAGTGCTTAATGACTGCTTTGGACTCCAGTTCTGAAGCTGGTTCTTTACCCATATACGTGCTGTCACAGGCCCATATGGAACTTCCGTCTCCCACTGAAATTAGAGTGAAGAAGTCGTTCAGCGCCTATGGATGAGCCGAACTTATGTATTCCACAAAGGTAATTCTTATAAGGAGGAGGTTTAAGAAAGAACCGCAAATTTGAAGAGGTAGACTACCTGTTCGCAAAGATGGCAGTTACATTCATCAGATGAATGCGAACTCAGGAGAAAGCGCGGACGAGAGGCACCATCACTCACTCGTTTGGTGGCTATTGCGCTTCAGAAAGTGTAATAAGTCTACTGTTCACCTTAAAGGGAATTCTTATAAAACGCATCCAGGGACTGAATTCTAGTGACTATGGTGGGTCACTCATCCGCAAATAACTAAGTGGAAACTTGGAGGCCGTCCACTTAATTGCTACCCCGTTGGTCATTCATTAGCGGGATCAGTGATAAAGCATTTACAAAATGAGTGCCAAACGGATCAGGTCGCACGTTTGCAATGAAGCAGTTAAAACCTTTTTCAGTCGTGATGGGAGTCCCCTCTTCTACCACTCCGTCCGCTTGATTAGTGAGCTAGTTGTGGTGGCGACATCCGGTAGACAAGGAAAAATGACACTAAACATCTGGTTCAGTCAGCCGGTGGACTAAAGGTGAGCACTAACCTCCCCAATTTAAAGGAAAATTTCTGTTTAAATCGACTCCGACACAACTTTCCCCATGTCTCCGTGACCTGTTCTTGCGCCAGAGTCGGTCCTGTAAAAATGAAGGAAGAGAACAACTCGCTTTACCACGACTGCTTCATTCACTATAATGTGACAAAGATACCTTACTGTGAATAACAAAAGCCAAATCTAACAACTCACGCTGTTTTGAAATACGTCAACCTAGCTGAGAGTGGGTGGGTGTCAACAATATACTAGAATGCCGTGGCTGACGTAGATACAACAACAGACTGTCAGCAGTTTCACTAAAATCTGGAATGTTTGATTGTTTACTTGGACGAAACATACCTTTCTAAAATTTTCGACCTTGGATGATAGGCAGATGACTGATCGGAATTAGATGCAATTGGATCTCAGCGCTGATAGCAATTTCAACATGGCACAACATAAGTATGTGTCAACCCGATGTGGGTGGCTAATAAATCAGTCAAGTACGACAATCTCTTGATCTGTGCACTGACACGTTAGTGTGGAGTGGACCAGTGGATGAAAAACATTTCCTGTTCCGGAGATAAGGTATTAGAAGTTGCACTAAACCATTTTGTGGTTAGCTCAGTTTTCAATCTTTTGCTCTGTTGAGCTACAGATGTTTCAAAACTGCCCGAAGGCTATCCTATCCGAAAGTGCAAAAGTGGAACTCAGCTGAAAGCTGGTTGCCGCTGGTTAACCTCGGCTTTACAACAGAACATGAGTGTCAGAATGCAATTAGGAACGATGTACACTGAATAATGAACAATCATTTTATACGGGTTAAGAATAGATGCTTCACAACTCCCGTTGGGTAGTCTGGTGGATTATCGAAAAACGTTAATGAAAAGATGCAGTTAGTACTTTTATTGCCAAAAGACTGAATTTATCGTAGGTAATACAGTAGGCCTGCAGTCCGAGTGTTTCCGTAGCTCCAATAGGAGAAAAAGGTATTTTCAGGAAGTAGGAAGGCGAGTATAGTGTTTAATAACCAAATGCATTTGCGTAAGTGTGTTGTCCAACCGATTTTTAAATATGGTTGGTGTAGTTGTAGTAGCGACCGATTCAGGAAGAGCGTTCTATGGGTGATACACGTGAATAAAAAAGAAATTTTTGCGGCAATCCAGGTGGCTGTACTGTTCTTTTAGTTTCAAAGGTGACATCTCAAGTCTGTGTTACTGCAGCGTTGCGTGAGTAGCTTTCATCAAGATGACATACATCGTATACTACCAGACCCCTAGAACGCCTCCAGCATTTATCCTTGCCCTTTCCACCCGATTAGCTAGACTCATGCCTTTGCCTAGTGAGATACCAAATCAGCGATTTCCCACTTGTCAGAATGAGGCAAAACTGCCGAAATGTGATCGACGTTATGAGTTACCAGGAATAGTTTCCTGCCTATCCTGACATGAAACACACGCCAATGTTCATTTGATCACCATAGCCTTCTCACCCACATTTAAATTATTGCGCGTTGGCTGGTACCTTACTGCTGTAAGAAGCTGCGTGTAAGCCAACCATGCCGCCCGCACGGTAATGAGAGTTATTCTAACCCGAGACAACAAACAATGCGCCATTTATATGACTTTAATAAACTTTAGACCGAAGGAACCGAAACGCGTTTCATCGCGGCTGTCACGTCGTGCCAGTCGTTGTTATAGACGCCCACACCTACAGCGATGGACGTGTACGTTATTGGGATGGTAGCCGGCTGGTTGGCTTATAGAAAAGCTTTGACGATAAGACTCACATCGTCATCCTGTTTCCCTACAGGTTCTCTCACAAGCAAATTCCTAAAGTCGATGCTGACGATGCAGAAGACCTTAAAGCTGGCCGATAATCCTGACAGTAGACGACCCGTATAATACTTCAAGGCCAGCGAACTCAACAGGGCTCACCAGTGCATAGCTCAGAACATGCGTGAGTTTAACATTACCGGTGTAAAATGATATGCATACGCCACCACGGCATCTATGAATATCAACTGGGACATCACGCTTTGCAGCGCACTTTCCATTAGACTGGTCTTGGGGTACTCATGAACGACGATCTCGAAAATTCAGGACAGGATGAGAAAGCAGTGAACAAGTCAGCCAAAACTCGGACCACTGCGGAGGGCGTTTGGCCAGTTTGATCCCTCCTTTATTCGCAAATGCTATACGCTTACATAAGAACATATATGGAACACGTCATCTAGGTGTGGCACCCGTGATAAAAGTGTGATCCCGCTGCTCCTGAGAATCTATGACAGAGAGCGATTAAACATGTTATGGGCTTGAAGCATCTTTCTAATCAGTTTACTTTTCAGTGGACAACATCGTCGTCTGCGAGGTGATCTCATATTAGTGTATCAAAGCCCCGCACGACCTCAACCACCCATTCCGATATGTATTAAAGCACATCACTGATAGGCCACAATTTTAAGTCGGCGACACATTATAGCTGGTTGGAATACCGACGAAACGTTTTCTTCATCCGGGTATTCCAGCCGTGAATCTTGAATAAATAAATAAATAAATAAATTGTATATTCCTCGACGATGCGAGCAGCTGTTCTCTATAAGGAACAGATCAAATAATGGTACAAGTTTTTTGTGGCATTTCATTAATACCTTTTCAGAGAAAAACATGAGCGCAATTGCAAATTAGGTAACAGAGTAGTCAGATTCGTTCTTCTATTTTTCCTGCCTTTGAATCAGGATTCTGCACAATCACATGACAGATGTTTGGGCAGAGAAAAAAGGTAATGAAAGGGGCTGTTGTCCGAAATGTTATGTGTATGTGTTTCGGAAATTTATTCAGGCACCATGGAGACCGTTTTCGAATGCCTTCTCTAGGGACTGTGATGTCCCAAACATCTTAATCACTTTTTGGGCGGTTAAATGCTTACTAATCGCAAGCTTAAACTTGCAAATTGTATAGCATGTTCTGATATCACTTGGAAGTTTGTTCCAAATCTTTGAGTAATGGGTTAGAAAGAAACCTTCTCTGATTCTTGTAGTAAATTTTGGAACCATGACCTTTACCTCTTTGTTACGTATTAGATATCTGCTGTTTAAAGTTATGTGAACACCGTTTTCGTGACTGCGAATTTGACAATTTATGATTCTGTAAAGAAAACATAGGTTCAGCTTCATTGTCCGAAGCCAAACTGGGTCAAATCCAAGTTTATCACATCGCTCTCTGTGTGTCCGTCTTGTGGAATATCCACATAGCTTTTTCGTGAAGCGTCTCTGGACCCTCTCAAGAGCGTGCTGATCAGACTTCCGTAGATTAGACTGTACCATTGAACAGTATTCCATACACGGCAATACATATGTTTTGTAAAGCGATATGCGCGATTCCGTGAGGTAAAAATGATGGCAGATATACCCGATGGTATTCATGGCTTTGAAACTTGAAAGTCACAGTGTTCAGAAAAATTAAACGTGACTTAATATCGCACGCCCAAATCACGCACTGCCCTGCATTGCGAGATATATGCGCTTTGTAGTAATAAACTGTCTGGCGGTACTTGGCATTTGTACGACGAAATATTACATTGTCCACGGCAAATGACATCTGCCACAGTTGACACCAGGAGTCAAGGGCAGATAGGTCATCCTGAATGAGACGTACGGCTTCCTGAGTATTTGCACGTGGTTGTGAGTAGACAGCTTTAATGTCATCAGCAAAGATAAATGCAACACCATTTCTTATTCTCTGGAATATATCGTTAAAATAAATTAGAAAACGAAAAGGACCAAGAACACTCCGTCGAATCACTCCACTAGTGATTGCTTTCGGTTTAGAGAAATGGTCGCCTATGCGCACAACCTGCTGTCTACCAATTAGACATGAAGACAGCCAAGAGAACATCGGTTCTCCAATGCCTATAGCCTTTAGTTTGTTTAGTAACCTTCTGTGAGGCACTCTATCAAAGGCATTTTGCATATCCAGGAACAGGATTACGACACTGTTTCCGTTGTCAATGGCAGCCGTTGTGTGGTTTAAAAAGTCAGTCTGACATTTTGCGCAGGATCGACCTTGCATGAAGCCGTGTTGCGAATTACTGATAATGTTAGCGTGGTTCAAGAATATAAATAGTTCATCTTTCACTATCCTTTCCATTATTCTAGATACGATGGGCGTGTAATTGATGGGACGAAAGATTTTATCCTCGTGGGCAGCGCCATTTTTATGTCGCGGGATAACAACAGAAGTCTTCCACTGAGTAGGGTATACTCCGTTGTTAAAAGAGAGTGTAAAGAGGTTGAGCAAAAGCAGAAGGAAGTCACTACCACTGCTTTTTATTAAACAAGGGGGATCCCATCAGGGCCTGCGCACGTTGAGGAGTATAAGCGAGAGACGTGAACAGTACTTCTCACTATAGTGAATTCCACTGTGCATGGACCTTCCTTGTTGTGCGGCATGATAAGTGCTGGTGTGTCTGATGATTCATTGACCATTGATTCGGCAAAATAAGCGCTGAAAGCTTCGCAGATATCACCTGGTGCGTCATAGTATGTTCCATCAGGTGTGATGATGATGCAACGCGAACCAGGGGCACGGAATAGTTTGGCCAGCTCAGCTGTTTTGCTAGGGCCGTCCAGAGCTTTTTACTCTTCTAGAATGAGCGTTTTGTCACGTTGATGCCTCTGTTCTTCGACGAGCTTCGACTGCTGTAATAATAGCTCAAAGTCAGCAGTTAGCTTGAATTTCTGACGAATCTTATGAAGCTTTCGCGCTGCCTTCAATGCCTTGTGATCGGATTTAGGTTTGGTTTGGTAAGCACATTTTAGTGGTACTGCTAAATCGATGCAGAAGCCAATTATACTATAAAACAGGTCCGTCGCATGTTGAGGACATAAAGAAAGAATTTATCCCATTTCATCGAACGAACCAGGTCCATGAAAGAGTCCCAGTTGACAGAACTAAACAGACTATAATGCATTGTGTCCTGTGCATCGGCCATGCGTGGTCTTGGCGGCATTTGATCACGCGATGATCGCTCCCCAGAAATTCATCAAGAACGTTAACACTGATTGCAGGTATGCCCAATGAAAAATGACATCCAGAGTACTTT